TTAATTAAAATGTAATGTTATTTAGCTACTTATTCTTTTGGACATGAACAGTGAAGAAGAGGTTGTGATTGAGGAGCTTTCCTGTGTGCACATAGGCACATACCTTAATTACAAGTCTAAAGGACTTTAAATATGAGTGATAGCTGGAGAGGTGAAAAGATAGCTAGTACTAAGGCTTCACATGGATGAGGCTGGGTGTAGTAGTGGCAGTGGCTTCAAGGCACCATAAGGACATGTGGCCCAGCCCCAGTGGGTCATCTGAGCCTGGAGGGGTACAAGGGTGACCACTGCTGAGCAGGACCATCTGGGAGCCCCGAGGCTTTGTACAGAGATGCAGCCAGGTGGCCCGACCACAGTTACAGGACACTGACTGACCCAGGAAGCACAACATCCCTCCGGTGCGGCTAGTGGGCCAGTCAGGCCCTGAGCGAGTGTGAACATGGGGGATGTCTCTGAGCATGTTTGCAGTCGAGTTTCTTCCCTCCATCAGCTACTCTGAATAAAACTGCACAAGATTCAGCTTGCATCTGTTAGATGTTCCTTTGGAAAATATCTCCCCAGGTGTTTACTTCCAGTGAATCAATGTCAGAAATCTCTGCTGCTTGTCCTACTAGAAGCAGCAGATTTCCCTGAAGATGTGTCTCTGCACAGGCCCTGTTCATTCTCAGCAGATTCTCACAGGAACTTAGCAGGGTCGACTAACCTCTGGATGACACCTCATCTGGTGCTAAATCTGGTTTTGTACCATAGCACTAAACATGTCTACTTACCAAAAGAAAATCTTAATATATTAGGCATTTTTAAGAAATAATAACTATATAAATGTATGAACTGGTCTGGCTAGGATGGAATCAACCTTCTCTACAGCAGCACATATGGTGCTGTGTGGCTAAACGTGTGTTAGTAACACACCAGTACTTTGGCCTGTTGCTGAGCAGTGCTCCCACAGCATCAAGGATTTCTCCTTTTTCCAGCTCTGGCACATAGCAACTAAGCCAGGGACTGGTAAATGCTGGGAGGGGACACAGCCAGGAGAACTGACCGGAATTGGCCAAAGGGATGTCCATAACAAATAACATCATGCCCAGCAATAAAGACAAGTGGTACAGAAGAGTGTGAGGTTTTTTGCTTCCAAGGTGGCTGTGGCTCAGAGACTAGCTGGACATTGGTCTGCTTGTGGGAGGTGGGGAGTTGTTGGGATTCTAGAGGGCTTTCTGCGAGAGAATGGCCATGTGAGCAATCCTGCATGAGAACAAGAGTGATAAGAGCCTCAGCCGAGCAAGAATGCGATAAGGATGTGACCCTGAATGAGGGGGGAGAAACTCGAGGAGACAAACAACCCCCGGAAGGGGTTGGGACAGAAGAGGAAGTTCCACAAGGCAGGAAGCCTGGCAAGGCTGATGTGGCACCTTTTATCCAATCATAAGAAGGTTTAAAGCGCGGGCTAAGTTAACTGTCCAATCTTGAGGACTTGTACTGCATGTTACTCACGCGTGCAGGAGAACATTATAAAAGGGCTTTCTAGTTGTAATAAACGGGCATTGCTTGATCACATTGGTCGTGTGTGTGCTCAGCTCTCCCACAAGCAGTGACTGCCTTTTCATTGCTTAGTTTTTCCAACCTCTTTCCTTCACCTAATGAATTGTCTTTATCTCAACCTGCAGTTTTCTTGCTTTTGCTCTTCACATTCTCTTGATCCTGCTGCTGTTGTAGAGGGGAGTAAGCAAGAAGCTCTGGGGGCTTAGCTGCTTGCTGGGTGCACCCACCATGGTGCACCATCAGCACATACAGGGAACATGTAGTGCATTGGGGAATCAACCCATCTTTATGGTCAATCCAGAGAAATTGGTTTTGGTAGTGTGAAGTTTACTTCTGGATCTCTACATTTGCACAGAACAATGCCATCACAGGTTAATATGTCAAGTTACATATGGCTCCTCATTCAGACATTCACTGAAACTTTTTTTTCTCACTGTGGTCTTATTCACCAGGTGAGTTTGGTTAGAGCAGATTTACAGTTTGAACATCTCTGTATCCTTTACAAGTCCATCCATGCTCATTGTCTCCTCCAGTCTGAAAAAAATCTATCTGCCTTCTCAGGCAATTATTTGAGAAAGTCATATCAATGACCTTCAGCTGGCAGAAGGGACTTGCCTACAGTATATATAGATGCATTTCAAAACTTATTTCTATGCCTGTTTGGGAAGAGGTTATAATAGTATTTGGGTTTTTCTTTCAACCAAGTGTTTGACGAGGCACAACCTGGTGATGGGGCTATGCAAGTTTGTCCCTAGTGGTGGATCTTGTGACCAGAAGCTGCATTCTTGCACCTGTGCCACTTTCTTGAAAGACTTTTCAAGTTATCGATATCTCTCCATCTTCCTGCACAATCCACAAGCTCTGTAAGGTCTTACCAATACTTTTTCTTCAGATGAGAGTCATCATATGAATAATACTAACATATGACCAGCAGGTACTTTCTGTAAGTACATCCCTTTTCTTAAAACTGTCATGGTTTATTGGGGGTTATGTGTATGGTTTTTGGTTTTGGTTGGTCGGTTAGTTTTGTTTGCTTTTTAATTTATTTTGGTAATTTATTGCTTTTGTAGAGGTCCATTCCTCTACCTCATATGATTTTATTAAGTCATGACAAAATCCAGATGGCTAGCTGGCCTGTCACCAGCCTGTTAAGATCTATCTGATTATCCCTCAGGAGATTTACCCAGGTTTTTTTAAAACACTCTAAGCAATGATTCTATTTCTTGTTCTTTCTTGAATACCAGCTTTAAACTGAGAGCTCAAAAAATCCACCATGCTCATACAAATATGTGCAATAATTGCAGATTTGAAAAGATGTAATTTGACAAATGGTAATAGCATTTTCTATTTCAGAAGATGTTGGAGCAACACCACTGGTATCAGTCTTTGGTGTTGGTGGCTTTAGCATCCTCACATCTGTGTGAGCAGTAATAGCTTCAATATCATAAATCTTGGCTGCCACAGTCTGACAAGAGCATCTGTGTCGTTGTCCTGTTTCCTTACAGCACTTCACTATGGCATGTTGGCAAGCAGTGTGTTGGAGGCAGACAGTGCTTCACTAGTTCTTTATCTTTTCAAGCACTTGTTTTTAGCATGAGAGGAGACCCTCTCTCAGGTATGATTCCCCTACCCAGATGAGTCCATTCCATGACTTCTAAGAAGTCTGAGAGACATGTAGACATATGCTTTTGACACAAAAGGATACAAAGCAAGCTATAATATCAAATATTGTGGTATCTTTCTCTTACTCAAAACTGTGGCAACATCTAATACTGAAATTAAACTGAAGCAGCTCTCAGAAAAAAAAAATATTTCATAGATTTATGTGCAGAACTGGCAATAAATGGGAACTTGTATCTTTTGAAGCAGCACAAATCTATTATACCTTTAATACTAACAACATGTACCAAATGCCTTTTTTGTCCCTGTTTATGCATCAAAGCATCAACAGAAGTACATGTGTGGAAAGCATCACAAAGTCTCAAAGCAATTAGAAAAATTACCTCTTACACTTGCAATAAAAGAAAGAGAAATGCAATGTACTGCAGAGGAATAGGACAATTTTGCATCTCCACCAAATAACAAAGTTTATCTGAATGGGAACAAATAAACATTCAATTGATATAATCTGAAAGCTCAGAGTGAGGTTTGTAACCCTAACTTGATAAACTCTCTGGGAAAATTGCTCCAGTGTTTGGCCACCCTCAGAGTAGAAGGTTTTTTTTCTAATATTTAAGTGGAATTTGCTGTGTTTTGATTTGTGCTCATTGCCTTTTGTCCTGTCACTGAGCAACTGAGAAGAGCCTGGGTCCAGCTTCTCTCCCATCAAGTATTTATACATGCTGGTAAGATCCCCCTGAGCCTGCCCTTCTCCAAGTTGAACCATTCCAGCTCTCTCAGCCTCTCCTCATATGTCAGATGCTCCACTTCCTTCATCATCTCTGCAGACCTTCACTGGATTAACTCTAGAATGTCCATGTCTCTCTTGCACTGAGAAGCCCAGCACTGGACACAGTCCCGCAGATGTGTCTCTCCAATGCTAAACAGAGGGGAAGGATCATCTCCCCTGATCTGCTGGCAATGCTGTCTAGTGCAGCCCAGGAGGTTTATGGCCTTCTTTGCTGCAAGGGCTTATCGCTGCCTCATGGTCAACTTGTTCACCAGGATCCACAGTGCTTCATATCTGCAGATCTGCTCTCCAGCATGTCAATCTCTACTATGTACTAACGTATAGGGTTAATCATCCCCATGTAGACAACTTGAGTTGAGTACCAAGTAAAAAGATTAAGACATTTACTACCTGGACTTCACAAAAGTCAACTTGATTTTATGGGACAATGAGCCATCTGTCTTTAGTACTAGTGATAGTGCATTTACCCAAGAAATGGGAGATGTGCTTTAGTCTGGCCTCTAGGGAATTCTGCCTTTGTGTATATGCTGCTCGCCGGGGGAGTGAATCTCCTATGCATTGCCTGGAGGCAAATCAGAGCAGGCCACTCATCCTCTTAAGGCTGGGTCCACCAGAAAAGCAAGGCAGTACTCATCAAGTAGGTAATCAACAAAGTTGATTGTGGGGACCAAAGAACAAAGTGACTTCTAGTTTCTGTCCCTACTCCCGGAATTTTTTTTTCTCCTTTTTTTTTTTTTTTTTCCCCCCTTTTTTTTTTTCTTGTTTAATGCTGTGCTGTGCAATGCAAAATGCATAAATAATCATTGTAGGAAGGATTCACATGAATCCCCTCCCACTTAAGCACTGTAACTTCTAGGCTACTGGCAAACTGCTCTTCCTTCAGGAAGCAAAACTTGCTTTTTTAGGACGCTCATTCCCCTAGAGATGACAAAAAATATTGTTACATTATCTGTCCAATTCCAAGGGCAGCAAGGCAAAAGGTATTCAAGTGGTTGTTAAAAAATTAAAGTTGTAGTAAAATTATCTTGCTCAACATTTTATTATAGTAGCAACAAAATCGATCACAAATTAATTTCCACAGTGGCATGCATCAAAGAATTACAAAATGCTTCTTTTGAACAAAAAATGTTCTTCATTTTTAGAAGGATTACAGTTACCAGCAGTACATTTCTCTGAACAATTTCACGATCATATTAATAAACAAATTCATAAACCACATGCAGTGAATGAATGAGATCAGAAAAAGAAATTCCTTCTAAATCAGCTGTTCTTGAGTAGTTTGTGTGAATTCAAATTACCAGGTCAGCTCCAAAATTAAGGAATTCTGGACTCCCAATCACTTTGCCTGAACCAATTCACGAGCGTTTCTGTATCACTGTATCCCAGTAGTAAAGAATGAGGAGAAAACAATCTCTTATTGAAAAGAACAAAACAGCAAAGAAACATTTCTGTCTGAAGAAGAGATAACAAAATACTGAAAGATCGTTTTGAAATTTCACTACAGTTTGTAACAAATAAAACAACTGTACACAGTAGAGTTCATACAATAGTGGAGAAATAAATAAGCATATGCAACATTACTGAAAGCACAATTTAGCTTTGCACATTGTTGAAATAATGTTTTTTTCCATGGTGACAATGCTTAGATCTGATTGCTTTTTAAAAAACAACCCAGAAATATTTGACTGCTTCCAAATGCCAAGTGACTGATCCAAGCATTCACTGTGTAGTAGGGCAGCAACTCCTGAAGCAGTATCAGTCCTTCAGTCGGTTGTACGGGATAATTGTTTTTGAAGGGAAGCTAGTGAGACTTTCACCATTTGACTTGTGCCATTCCCTTCCGCAGGAGAATCATAAACCCCTTCAAAATACATCGGAGCTGCTTTGATATATCCTTAACTCTGACCACAAAGAGGTCACGCACTAATTTGAACCCAAGTGTGTTTTCAATACACCTAACCATTCTCAGCTGCACAATTTACCAACACTGAAACTTCCAACACCTTGGTATTTCACACGGGAAGCTGTGTAGCTCCAAAAGTCAGATGCTACAGCAGCATCTCTTCTGTTACAAATAAAAATGCAATCAGAATGCAATCTCTTACATCAAAGCCATTAAATGAGGATATAGACATGGATTTCAATATTAGTAGCAATCAGACAATTCTTTCAGACTAAATGTTGCAAAGGAATTTGTTATCTGCAAAATAAGTATATAAAGATAGTTACATTACTGCAGTCAGTAATTGTGACATCCAGTTACTTTTGCTTCTAGCAAAAAAGTTTGCTATAATATTAATAAAATCACACAAATTTTTAAGTAAATACATGCCCATATATCCAATCTACAACATCTAGGTACAAAAAAAGAGGTTGGTTGCTGTTAGAAGAGCAAACACAGAAAAAGATCTAAAATCATATTATCAAGATATCTAGTAAAGTTTCGTAGTGTTAGGTGTAGGAATCACTAAAAAAATTAGCATGGATTTCATGAATAACATCCTTAAAGCCATAGTCACAGCACATTATGAGTTAAAATCACACCTTAACTTAAATCTGCAATTTTAGGTACTGTAGTTGTGCACACAGTTTTGTGTGGATAATAACTTCTGTTTGCACAAATAAACATCAGCATGAAATAATTCCTTAATTCCTTTTCATTTGTTATTCCAAGTGATGGTGCATATAAAATCATCTACGTAGATTTTAGCCCTTGATGAAACCTCACTAAGAATATGGGCTTAAATGCCTCACCTGAGCATCTAAAAAAAAAAAAAAAAGAACTATGGAGACAGAGACTGAGAAAGGAGAAAATTACTTTTTGAGCAAAAAGGCAAATAAGGTGAGAATTTACTTGTGATATTCTCAGTCTGTAGGAGTTGTGGTTCAGTCTGTACTCTGAAAAGGGTAAAGATAAAAGTGTATATTCATGTTACTGTTATTACACAAATATTTAGCTCAGTTCTTATCCCAGCCAATTGTGTTTCTGAGAGTATAACCAGGTTTGCATGGTACACATGATCTTTGCCTGCTGCTTGTCCTGGAGGTCTGATCACTTTTTAAGTAAGAAAAGAAATGGGAGCTAGGGCCTGGTCTGAAAGCACTGAATAGATGCCTAACTGATATCTCTCCTTGACTTTCCCTTATGGTGGCAAACTGTAGCTTTAAGGAAGTGTGAGCCATACAATGCCATAGAACTCTGTAATTTCACATCAAACTCTACAAAGCAAAGGCTTGTTCAAAGTGTATGTCACTGTTATAGTACTGTATCTATGAGATGCGACTGTTAGGTACTAACTCTACGATAACGTTGATATTCTTCTCTTTTGAATCTTGAACTGCAGTCAGCTTTGCCTGCTTATCTGCCATGTGACTTTGTCATTATATTTTTTCCTTATTATTTTAAAAGCAGCAAAGAGTCTGGACATTTCCCTTCCAGTTGTCTGGGTGTTCAGACACCATGGTGATGGAGCATCTGCACAGACACAAACCCCACTGCACGTATCTGATGGCCTGTGCTGCTCAGGCAGATGCTGGCAAGCCTCAGGCCCCAGGTAAATAGGGAAGAGCCCCAGTGCAGAGGACTTAGAAAACACTGCAACACCACCTGCATGGGTTCAGCTGCTGGCTCTGCTCCAGCCAAAGCTCTGCCAGCTCCTGTGCTTCATAGGCCAGGCTTCAGGGGCCAGCCTGCCCCCGGCCAATGCCCACAGGTATCGCATTCTGCCTGGTTTTAAAACACTCCCCATAATTTGAGGTAGAAGTCCTCAAGAAGAAGGATACCCCTGTGGTCTTGCTCCCTCTTCTTGCTAAAATGAAAAGGCAAGTGCTTTTCATTCGTAATGTGGGACATCATCCACTGCCCCGCTCTGCATCCATGGAGGCGTCCTCGGCAGCCTTGCTCTTTCTGAGAACGCAGACCACACCAATACATGAGACAAAGGATTTGGGTATTCCTCTGAAGTCAACTCACCTGTTTAAAGTTATGTTGTGTTATGTGCTTTGTTCAGTTAGACTCAGCAGTATATTCTTTTCACTTCCCAAGAGGCTGCATTTTCATGTAGGACACAGACAAGTGTGTAGAGATATATGGTAACTCCTGCAATTCTGTGAGCAGAAATGCCTTTACATTTCATACAGGTTGGTGGAAACAGAGCATCCAAAGGTTTTACATGACTGTGTACTCAGAACAAGGTGGGCTTCAGGCCTGAAAATGAGGAGAGAAGAAGTAAACTGAGAAAAAATATTTTTCCATTCTCATATAATCTCCAAAATGAAATAAAAACCTCAGTCTCTCTGTGGAGCATTTGTACGTAAGATCTAAAGTATACAGGTTTACAGACAGCATTTAAGTAGTGTTGTGTAGGAAATCATCATGAAAACAGTAACATACATCATCATGTAGAAGAGAGCTGGGTTAAACAAATGTGCTAAATACAGGGATGGTGCAGGCAGCATGGAAACAGATGTGACTTTCAGCACTCTCAGGACTAGAGTGCTGGTGTGGGGGACATCCATGTCTTCTCTTAGCACCAGCTGCATGGTGTCACCAGGCTAGTTAACCCCCAGCTGGAGCCAGGGGGTGAGGCACAAGAAAATATCTCATTGACCTCCTGCAGGTAGCCAGAGCATGCCTAGGAGGAATCGCTCAGCTCAGGCACCACTGCCCACCCTCCTGCCAGACATTTACATGAGGCACCATGCCTGAGTACCACTGTCTGATGCTCCACCATTGCCCTCTGCTCCTCAGGGAGAAAGGCTCAACATACATGCTTCTCCTCATCCTTCCCCATACCCTGGATCCTCCCAGACACATCATGCTCTGCACAAGGCTCTTTGAGAGCATCACTTTCTAGAGCCGGGCAGTTCTCCCTCCCCACCATGCCCTGTTTGGTGGTGCATCATCTGTCATCACCAGCCTTCCCTGGTCCTTTGCTGTGCTGTCCCGGCTGAAAGCTAGCCCAGCACAGCCCCATGCACGTGAACATGGTCTGGTTCATGAGGACCTTACCCTTGTAAACATTAAAATGTATTAACTGTTACCTCAGATGACAAACATCTATCACCAAGGGACAATTTTGCCGAGGACAGATAGGTATTGGTGACAGTAATATCTTCTAGTTCAGTGCTGAAATGATCAGACTCTTTGATGACATTATAATTTAGGGCTACACTGTAATTGGCCGGTTTCTTCTCCCGTTTCTGCTGGCAGTTGCAGAGTTTCTTGAAGGCTGCTCGGAATTTCTGGGACATGAGATTGTAAATTACAGGATTGATAGCACTATTTAAATAAATACAGATTCTGCAGAATAGCAGGAACCAGTTTTCTTGGAAAGGGCTGGAGAGAAAGGAATTAACCACGACCAGTGTGCGGTAGGGCATCCACAGAAATGCAAATAGGATAACAACCACAGCCAACATCTTGGTAACCTGAGGGAACACAGAGGTAGACAGAAGAAGGGCAGAAAGTTAGTACTCATCTTGGAAGGAGCATGTGCATTCCTACAACTCTAGGACCAAAGCAAAACTATGGACAGAGTCTTCATCTGGGAATTTCTGATATTTGATTCAGAAAGGTTTTCTATGGTAAGAAGGACAAAAAAAAAAAAAAAAAAAAAAAAAAAAAAAAAAAAAAGGTCCAAATTCCTCCTAGTTTTTGTTAAATGACTCTTTCCAGGTGATATCCCAGTAAGCTAATTGTTGTAGACCTTAGACTTTGGAACTTCTCAAGCTGGAAGAATGTGTTGATTCAAATGGGGATTTAAGTAATTTTTTCCAACAACATTAATCTCCTCCTTTAGACTAGTATAATTCATAGAGTAATTGAACCTGAAGCCATTAATTTCATTATTTGAGGTTTACTCTGAAATGACAAAGTTTACAGAACCAGGAAGAAAAAAAAAGTATTATCAACAAAACTTCATTATAATAAGAACTTTCTTCTATTGTGTAAATTCATTTTGAATAGAGAAAAAACATCCTTTGAGGATACCCAGGATAGCTGAAAGGAAATGAACAAGAAATAATTAAAAAATTAGGAAAAAAACCTCACTGTAAAAAGTCTTTCTCTTGTAAATAATTTAATTCTCGTATGTATGGTATTCTCTAATCTCTACATTAAAGAATGTTTGAAATATGTTAATAAACATAGAAAGCACAGTGAGAGGTGACAGTGGGATAGCATGGTGTCACAGCCTCATGTACATCAGGAGATGACTTGGTTAACTTGGTGAGTTACAACTGCTTCTTTTGATTCTGTTTTTTCTTTTTTTACTGTTTTCTTCTTGACATGAAACTGTTGTTTTCTATTGAGAGATTAGTTTAAAGTACTTCTTTTTATCTTTGCTTCATTCCTTCTTTCTGAGTACCTGAAGCTATGCTTCAGTAAAACAGAAACTCCTGTAACCACAGGATACATTCTGACTGTATGGGTTATAATTTCATTGCTTGCAGAAAGGATAGATGTAGATCAATAAGAGTTTCAGTTGTTTCCAGGGGGACAGACAGATAACTCTGCTAAAATCACTTATAAATACATGCTAGTTTTAGGTGTCTTTTTGAGTTTGAAGTTATAGGAGAGTATGCAATTCTCTTGTCTTCTGATCAGATAGCTGGTTATATAGAAAGTGCCATCTCATTGCTTAAGGGATGTATTTTAACTATCCATAAAGACACATATACATATAACCCAGTTTGTTGGGTTTTGTTACAGATAACGAATGAGATGAAGAGCAAAGTTATGCTACAAAATAATGCATCTTTGTCTACTTATCTTTAAATGTACATATTAAAAGGCTATAATTTTGTCCTATAGTTCTCTTCCTTTCACCCTCACTTTTGATTACCCTATATCTGTATTCAGTAGAAGTAAAAAAGGAGGCTGAGAAATATTATCTCCTTTTTTTGTCATTTGACTCATACATTTCCTTACAACTCATAGACTACTTTTCTTGGGTTTTTTGCACAGTCATTGTAATAGAGCAATATGTGAATGTGAATGTCTCAGGTAGCCGAAAGGATGATTTTTCCTCATTTCTGAACCAATTCTGAAACAACCAGTCCCATCAACATGGCTTCAAAGAGTGAGGTGACCCAGTACTGACCCACTCTGGCTGAGGAAGACACAGGACTGCTCACCTGCTGCTTCTCCTCCCTCCAGCTCCACTCCAGCCTATGCCTCCAAACTGAGCATATCCATTCAACTGAGAATAATCATTCATAATGGAAAAGAATTCACATTTAAAGGAAGAAAGTAACCATTTGTGGAGCTTGGATTAACAATGGGACTGAGCCCAACTAACAGATGTGTTGCATGAGCTCAGACATTCAGAAGGCAAGTGGATAATTGTCTACACCGGCATCAAAGTACTTCGCTACCAGAAGATCAGCAGGGAACTCTATTATTATACCTACTGATCATTGGCAATTTAAATTTCTTCTGAGCATGTCTTTAATGAACAATTGCCCGGAGAATCACTTACAATGGTGCAGCTGCTAGTTTGAATCCTGGGTTGAGCTAGAATTAAATTGATCGTACTATCAGGAACGGGATATTTTAGTCACACAACTAATACTTTACAGCAATGAAGAAATGCTGTTACTCTTCAAGTGACTGTGTTCTATATGCCTAAAAGACATATATGTATGCAGTGTGCAAACTATTAGCTAAATTTATGTATACTGGCAGCTTGATATGCATTTTCCTACTATCTAACACCACTCGCTTGTACTGCTGCCATGTTCATCCTACTGAGGCTGTGATTTGACAACGTATTAGAACTGTCTCTTAACACCAGATAAAAAATATCATGATCACAACACAAAGTGCCCTGAGCTGAAATCAATTCAGTCTTCAGATCTGAATGTGATTTAAAATGCCAGGAGGTTAGCTTCTCACTGTCAGGTTTTATGCCAGGAAAGACACTGTCTTGCAGCACTCAGAGTCCACAATTTCCTGGTCTTGACATAAACTGAACCCCAAGTAAGCCGTGACTGCAGCGAAAAAAGCATCCTGCTCTCACCTCCCTCCTTGTGCTGGCCCCAGAAATGAGGGTGTGGGTCAGGTCAGACTGCTGGTTCAACTTGAAATTAAGCACCTCTCTGTTGAGCTGGCTTTTGGTTTGCTCAGGTCAGTGATCCAATTCATGTAGCCATAAGCTGCCACAGAGTCTACAGTCAGTGCAAGAGAAGAGGCAGAAACATGTGGCCATGGATGACACCTCTTTGGTGGCACCTCTTGGTGGTTCAGTCAGTGCAGGGCAGGGAGGAGAACTCACCATAATTTTAAACTGGCTGCAATGCATATCCTTCCAAAGCTGCCACAAATCACAAATCTGACACAAGCTCTCAACTGCCAGGCAGAAATTCCACTGTCTGATCTATCTGATCACTAGCAGTCGTTTCTCTGGGACCCATTGTGAGGCTGAGTTCAGATAATTATTTGCTCATTGGTAAATCCTCCCTAAGCTGGCTCTGGAGGCAGTGGCTTTGCATGCTTAGCTACATCACAGCATGACCTATGTGCAAATGGCAGCAGCTCCTAGGTGTTCTGGCACCATTCACTTTGTCCCCAGTGTGGTCAGAGGGCTTGTCACCCCACTGCAGGATGAGGCTTCTGATCCAAAGATTCTGCAAGCATGTCCTGGACTTTTTTCACACCTGAATTTGCCTTTATAGATGAACCCAGCTTCTAAACACATGATTTAGGCCAAATCTACTTTCTTATCCACACCAGAAATCTTCACTGGGGTGGATGGAGCTGCACAGAAATAGCTTAGGGAAAGTTTCGTCCACTTTGCTTAAGTAATCCTTTTTCAAATCACTTCATACGAAACATAACAAAACATCATTTAGGGGGAGCTAATTATGTGACGTCAGTGGAGTGCTAAGAGGATAAACTTTTTTAAGAACCTGCTTTTTATTACCTGTAAGGATACACCAAATCTCCCTGAAAACAGTGGCATTAGCATCCTCATTCATTACTCAGGTGAAGGCAAGCATACACTGATTGCTCTTTTCTTGTGGATGTCCACTGCATATTCTATACTCAGAGTACAAATTATTCTCAGTTAAAGAGACCGAAAACATGATTAAAAGGTTTTGAGCAAATCCATTTTAGTCCAAATTTCAAGTGTACTTTGAATGATAGTGAAGTGCTTGAGATTGTGTGTGTTCCTGGCCACATGAAACTGTTCTTCAAGCCCTATCTTTTGTTTTCTGAGAATTTTCTGAAAAATATTTAAAATGTTTTTTTACTAAACAGATTCCCAATATTTTAATTCTGAACCAATATTCTCCTTTTCCTTCCTGTTCCAAAACCTTGTCATTCTAATGGAGTGTTTTTATGAGACATTTTCATTACTCACAGTTTGGTAGTTGCCTCCTTCTCCTTTGAACACTAATCTTTCTTACAGTCTTACATAGGTAAAAGTAATAGTCATATTTACTAATTTACTGTGCCATAGAGTCACTTTGGTGTTTTAAAGGCATGTAATATTATCTTTCTTTCTTTTCCTTGGTGGTGTTCATTACAATGCACAGAGATTGTATATGCCAGTATGTGATTTTGTGATCCAAAAGAAGTTGTACAATGAGGAGGAGGATTAAATAAATAACAGAAGTGAGGTTTTGATATAATAACACTGCAAATGAAAACATGCAATATGATTGAGGATTTCATGGAAGCCACAGAAAATTTATCTTGCATTGTAAACTGTAATCTGTGCTTGCTCTGCTGTGAGAGAACAGAGGGATTTCTCTGGGGGACAGGTCATCATGTACTGCATCAATGTCTAAGAGAGGACTTTCTCTAGAATCACAGAATCATTCAGGTTGGAAAAGACCCTTGGGATCATCGAGTCCAACCATCAGCCCTACTCTACAAAGTTCTCCCCTACACCACATGCCCCAACATCTCATCTAAATGACCCTTAAACACATCCAGGGATGGTGACTCCACCACCTCCCTGGGCAGCCTATTCCACTCTCTGACCACTTTTTCTGTGAAAAACTTTTTCCTAATGTCCAGCCTGAACCTCCTCTGTTGCAGTTTAAAGCCGTTCCCTCTTGTTCTGTCACTAATCAGCTGTGAGAAGAGACCAGCACCAACCTCTCTACAATGTCCTTTCAGGGAGCTGTGGAGAGTGATGAGGTCTCCCCTCAGCCTTCTCTTCCTCAAACTGAACAGTCCCAGCTCCTTCAATCGCTCCTCACAGGATCTGTTCTCCAGGCCCTTCACCAGCTTTGTTGCCCTCCTCTGCACTCGCTCCAGCACCTCGATATCTCTCTCGTATTGAGGTGCCCAAAACTGGACACAATACTCCAGGTGTGGCCTCACCAGTGCAGAGTACAGGGGGACTATCACCTCCCTACTTCTGCTGGTCACACCATTTCTGACAAGCCAGGATGCCGTGGGCTTTAATCAACCAGGG